CTAGCAAATAAAAAACACTTGGCACTAGCAAATAAAAAAAGGAAGTTCAGTTGGGGACACTGAACACTTTTGGAAACCCCTCCAAACTCACAGTTGCTTCTCTGATACTGCCTCTCACCAAATAAATAAACTGAGAAAGAATAGAGAACCTGTGCTCTACCTCAGATCCCACCACTACACTGTGACCTCTAATATTTCCGCTAATGGACTTTGCAGACACCATGCTGTAGATAAAGACAGGAGAATTTTAAGGATTAATCAGTGGACTCAACATAACAGTAACTTAAAAAAACCCAAAAAACCAAAACAACAGAATTTTGTTTGGAGGTAGAGGTTTCTTTTTCTTAGTTTTGGTTTGTTTGAAGTTTTTTGCTTAGGTTTGGGGTTTTTTAAATTTCTTTTTCCTGGCAAGATGATGCACCCTTTCATGAATCAAAACATCAGAAGTACAACATGCTTCCTGAACTTGCTGGAATAAACATTGTACATAGTCCCCTCTGGAGCATTTTCTTTCTAGTGGTTCTCTTGCTGTCTGTGCATTTGACTTACTACATAATTGATCTAAAAAGCCTATGCTAAGCAGCCTCTCTATGGTAGGCAAGCGTCCTTGGAGGACTTGGTCATGAATAGATTGAGGCTATCTCTAAAAATTCATATTCCTGGTATATTTATTCTATGGAAATGTCTTTACTGAATACATTTGCTTGCCTTCTATGCAGTCTATGGGTGAAAATACACTAGTGACTATTCCCGGTCATATGAATATTTGTCCTGGACATAGGTGATTTAGTAAAAAGTGATTATCTGAAGAGATATTAAGAGTAAACTCAAGTTTGCCAGCAGTGGGTACAAATACTAAGTGCAGCAAACAGCTGGTTTGCTTTCTGTAGCAGTTTCTCCAGGAAACAATGCATTGTTACCCAGGCACAGCCAAGTTAAGTCTGAACTCAGGGGAAAATATATCCTGCTGGATCGGACTAAGAGGGGAGAAGCTGCTGCAGCTCGATACTCCAGGTCCAACCAGTAGTGAGACTGAAGATCTATTCTCAGCAGGCCATGTGCACATAACTAACAAAGGTGCAAGACATATATATATGCATATATACATGACCATATACACACACCTTGCAGACAAAAACACTCCGGGCCACCCAGAGTCCTCCCACAAACAGCAAAAGCATCATCATCCTTACAATGCTCCCCTCCAAAACAGTGCAGCATCGAGGTCCACTCGTATGTATCTGTGCAGACATGGCTCCCTTCATCAGCTGAGCTCATAAATTCAGTCTGCCCAGTAGCTGCCCCTGAATCCCAGTCACCTCAGTTTCTGACATCTGGACATAAGCCTCCAGTGTTGACTTGCAGTGATGGGTTTCATGCCAGTGGGGCTAGGACTTTCTTGGAATAGCCCTGGAAGGGACCTGGATATGGTGTCCCATAAAAAGTCCCTTAGGTCTTTTTCTGAGTCCTAATTTGGTAACCTGTTTTTGTACATTCCTCCTCCACCAGGCTAGTGGACATAGGCTTTGGATAATCTGATGTTTCCTGCAATAGGCCTGAGAGCAGCCAGGGCCAGGATATTACTTGGGCTCTCTCTCCTGCCATAATCTCTCTATGCTTCTTTTGGATGTACAGATAAGCTTTTATCACCTAATCTCATGTGAGCAGTCCAGTTTCCACGGCAGTAACATCAGAGCAGCTCCCCCATATTGCTCTGTGCTCTCTACCTTGGCTTCTAGCATCTCAGCTGCCTCAGCCAGCTGGGGCTCTGTGTTCCTGAACCCCACTCTGTAACACTGTGCAAGCTGACCAAGAGCACACAGAGGCCCCCTGCCACTGTTGCCTGGGCAGTTATTTGAAGATGTCACAGTTTTAAGATAAGCCAATAGCTTTGCATTTATTGGCATTCAGCAAGTGCTTTTCTGACAAGGGGCTGGTAGAATTGTAGTACAGGGAGAACAAGCATTGGTCATGGGAAGTAATGAACTATTGCAATCTGCCCCTCTAGAGTCTACACATTATAAAAATTCAAGTATGATGCAGATTGCCTGCCTACCATAGAAGTAGAAAGGGTGAAATTAACAGGGTAAATTACTATTGATGTACACCAGGTCACTGAGAATAAACAAGAACTGTCCTTTTCAGCTTACTGCAAACATCATCTTTGCCTTTTCATGTCTTCAATCTTCCTGAGGCTGAAGTTCTTTACAAGGACAACTGTTTGTGTTTTGGATTAAGCAGAAGCCTTGATCATTTGAAAAGTCATGTATGCAAGGAACAGCAAAATCTCTTTTTTTTTTTTTTCAAGTAACCTATGTGTTGGTTTTGGTGGAGAATTGTGGGAATGAAAACCTATAGAAGCCAATAGTGGAACTATATGTCTAATAGAAAACATAACAGTGATAAGCCTATCATTTCCTTCGAATCAATCTTCTGCTGATGGGGTGTTGGGTATGAATACATTTGACTAATTTTCAGTCAGTTATATTTTTGTGCTACAGAGTCTCTTGCAAAATGTAAGCCTTTGGATTTGTTTGCAAGGACAAGATCTCTTCCTGTTACTTAAAAATATAACTAGAAGATTAAACAAAAGCAAGACAGATTTAAAAATGTCTATGGATGAAATAAGTTGCTTGGTAATGAGAAAAATTTGAATGCACAGATTTTTAGTTGTAGAATTTAAAAAAATCACATCTGGCTGCAGTAAAATGAAGGGATCTTACATTCTTAATGAAAGAAACTCATGAAAAGCTCTGGAGGCAAAGTCTGTAAAACACGGGTGAATGAATGCTCTTTACAGCTGTGTGATGATATTTCTTCAGGCTGTATTTCTTCATCAGTTTATTCCATTTCAACTTTACAGATTATGTAAGTAATTCCTTCTGCAAAGCTTAATATTTTACTGTATATTTTGTTTTTGAAATGTATTTGATTTCCTGCTGACATAAAGAGAATAAATTGGCTCCCAACTAATAATTGTTCAGAGCTAAGCTCTTTTAGAGTCCTTAATGGACTAACATACTCTGATATTTGAGGTACTAATATTTGCCAAGTTGCTGTGGTGACAAATGTAATTCTGGTTAAAAAACAAAATATTAGTTCTACTTTGCTTAACCACTCACCATGATTCCAAAAGCGAATTTCACCATTTCTGACAAAGTGAATGCATATTGTCCTTTTTTTCTGAGAAATGGTATCTTTAGTAAAATATGAGTATGGGGAAGTCTGCCTTCTCTTTGATCACAGTACCTTACACCTACTCAAATTACTATTAAAACAGATTTAAGGTAGCACAGTGTCCACTTCTTGAAGAAAAGATCAGGTCAGGCCCAAGGGAACGCTCTGTAGCACAAAATGTCTGGGTCTTCCCTCAGCTTCTTTTTGGTCATTGTGATAAAGTGAAACGTTCCTAAAGGCAGTGATCCTTCACTTCAGATTTCTCTGCCTGGCACTGCAAATCCATCAGACATGGCCTAGAGGTTCTTTGACTCATGCATGGAAGCTGTAGGGAATGGCAGTGGACCTGGGGTCACAATGATAACTATAGCATCTTTTGCCCATAGCCATCCCTCTGGTTTTGCAGTAAGCAAAGCCAGCTGGGGAGATTTGATCAATTTTAGGTCTTTCACTAGAATCAATTGTCAGACTAGATCATTTTTTTTTTTTTTTAGCTTACAGGTTTGCAGGCAGGGGTCTCAATGTGTGGAGATGACGGCTGTTTTATGAGAAGGGGTCACTGGGGAACATATCCATGCCCTACTCATGCAGATCAGCTTCCAAGACATTCAGGTCACAAATTTTTGAAGCTATTTCATCTTTTGTCCAAGAGACTTTGAGAAAAAAAGTCCATGATATGCCACAGGATCCGTTTCCAGTGTCCTCTCATAAATGTGCAGTTATAGAAGTTAGCTTCTACTCTATTGCAATTTTCCTAAGCACCTGGTATTTTCCAAGGAGGGAGGGAGGGAGGGAGTGAGGAAATGGTATGGGACAGGCTGGCAGAAAAAGGTATGCTTTCTCTTTCTCTCTCCATTGATCATTTAGAGAAGGAATATCCATATCCCATCAAAAACTTAGAGCCTAGAGCCAGACATAATCACGAGTCCAAAACAAAGTGTAAGTTCTTGGAGTAAGTCTCCTGCTTCCTGTGTTACCTTCAAGGGCAAGAACTCTTCCTGCTCAGAAGGTGGTCACCAGCAGCATCATTCTTGGCTGAGCCTGAAGCCAGCCATGGAGCTTTTCTTCTACAGAGCAGATCTGGGTACCAGCAGAATGGTGGCAGGCAGCAACTGAGAAGTACCACAAGTGTGGTTCTAAATCACCCATTATCTGCTCACGTTCAAAGAGAGCACTGTAAGCTGTTTCACTCACCGTCATGGTCCCTATGGCGTTTCAAGGCCTCAGATACTTCTATTCAGCTGCAGTAATGGTTAAGTCTTGTATAATTTAAATGGAAGGTAAATCAGAGTTCAAACACAGTCCCTGCCCATGGCTTAATGCACAATGTAAGTATTACTGACCTGGTAGATCAAAGACATGCAGATGAAATGTGCCAGAGAGAAACAACAGAAAGAAGACAGACTAATTCTGAAATTTTTAAAGTTTGCTGCTAAATTTACATCCTGATCTTAAAAGATAAGGAATGAATACATTGCTGATTTTTTTTCAGAGCTCTGTTTTTAGATTACAAGGTTTGTATTGCAATGTGAAAATGGAAGAAAGTACCATCTCTTCTTTCTAAAAGTATAGGAAGAATGTTGAGGGCAGAAGAAAATATTATTTTTTGTAAGCAAAAGTAAAACCTGTGTTGATAATATCTCCATAATAGTAATGCCTGACAGATGATCCTTAGTTCATTTTAAATTTCTAGTTAAACAGAATCATGTTACCGTAGTTGTTCAAATCAGTATTGTCTCTTTGTCTTTTTGCAAGTCTGTTTGAAATTGACTTAAAGGGAGTTTGCGTTGCTTTAACTCTTCTCTCTCCCTTTCTCTTTTAAGGTCAACTCAAATCAAAACGTACTCTTGGGATAATGCCCAGGTTATTTTGGTTGGAAACAAATGTGACATGGAGGATGAACGAGTAATCTTCACTGAGAGGGGAAAACATTTAGCAGAGCAACTTGGTAAGAAAAGACACAACAAAAGCTTTGTGATTGTTTGTGAGAATGCACAAATAAATTTCATTCATTGCTACAGTACTTGTAAATACTTGTTCAGGACACATTCATTGTAAAGGAATAGTCACACACACACTGCTTCCCTTTTATTTCTGCAGCCTTTATGATATGGAACAAGGAAACAAGCAAATAAAAAACCCCAAGCACTGTCTCATCAATTAAAAAAAAAAAAAAGAAAGGAAAAGGAAAAGGAAAAAGAAAAGAAAAGAAAATGAAATTTTAAAAAAAGAGAGAGGAAAGGAGAAAATGCAGAAAAAAAACTTACAAGACCTTTGACCTTTTTGCAACTTGAGTAGATTTGGGTTATGATTAGCAATACCAATAATCCAAATATGCTGCTGTCCAACTCCTGTTGCTAACACTTCATCCACTGATCTACTGTACAACCACAGAACTGTAGATATGAATTTGTTTCATAAAGTCTCCCTCTGGGAAGAAAATTCTGTACACACAGAAAATTGCCAAGCTGCGAGTACCTTTGTTCCTTCTATTTCTATCCTTTCATACCATGAAATGTTTTTGAGGTGACACTGGATAAACCTTAATGGAAAATCTCCAGAGAATCATTGTAATACTACTACCAGACTCTTTTCTCCTTCAAATTTCCTGATCTCTGGAGAGTAAGCTCAGCAGGTGTGTAAATCAAACTCTGGCATTGTTTGAGGCCAGTTTATACATGGAATCATAAATTATGGGCATAGGTTTGCCATTTATTTTAAAACTGTGTGTGGTAAAAGCTCAGTCTGGTCAAAATATGTGTAACCAAGATTTTCTTGTCACTATTGCTATATAGGTAGGTATACGAAAGGATGTTTTAAGAGGAGATCTAATCTCATGCTGTTGGTTCTTAAGTTATGTACATTTATAGGTCAATGACCTTATTTAAAAAAAAATACTTTTTTCTACTTGTACAATTACTTCTACTAGTAAACAATTTCATCAGAATAACATACCTTTATATTGCACCTCTTTTAATAAGTGTTGATATGTGTAAAAAAACTCCTTGAAAGAATACATTAAAGATTACTATAAGTTAGTCCTTGAAAGGTGACAGGAAATATTTAGCAGAAGGCTATATACAGAAAACTTTCCAATATTTTTTGAAGAATTGAGTTTCTCAAACTTCTTACAACAAAGCTGTTAACAGAGGATATTTGTCTTTGCAGAAATACCTGTCATATTTTTGCATATATTTTTCTATATCTATTCTTCCAATTTATAATATATAGTCATTGTACTAGGAGATAGAAAAGTGTATTCATGGACAAATAGATCCCAAAAATTTAATTGTATACTTTTACCACAGATTTTGACTAGGTGCTGAAATGTTTATCAACAACCATAAATTTTCACTGTAGAGTTTGAGGATTTTTAAAGTCACAAAACAAATCTGAACTTCTATTCCTTGAACCATATTCCTATATATAAAAAACATGCAGTGAACTGACAAAGCATCCCCAAGGTCATGAATTTATGAAGACAAGAAGGAACTTTGCATGTTGTACAGTGAAGAATCCTCAGATGTAATAACCAATGCTTGGAAAAAAATAATAAAAGGGCAATGAGATAGATATCAAAACTAATGTTTCAGGCTTTAAAGCAAATTCTAACTCCTGTGGTTTAAAATTCAATCTTTATGGAAGAAGATTATCCTCTATTTCCATATTTATATACTAAGGGGATTTCTTTTCTCAGATATATATCCTGTGTCTGTCTCAAGGGCAGATTATTGTGTTAGATAATTTGTGTCTGTGATCCAGTCATTTACGGTAGTCAGACTGCACGCACAAATGTTTACATATTTCCTGTACAGCTGCAATCATTTCTTAAATCTGCCCAGAAGCTGGGTGAGGTGGTGTCAGGAAGAGCAGAAGAAAGATTTTCCTTTAACTGCAGTAAGTGCACTGGCCATGCTGGCTGGTTTGGAAGGCACCCATTGTGCTTTGCACATGGGACTGTCTTTTGTTTCTATGGCAGTAAATTGATAACATCTCTTACAGACAAATATTAAAAATAACAATATAGATTTTTCTGTCCAGCCAGACATTTCAAAACTGTGAACTCAGTGTTGATCACAGTCACAAGCAAATACGATTTATGAGTGCTGCACAAAAACTGCATTGTGTCACCTTCAGTTCTCAAGTGTGGTTTTATTTTCAGGCCTTGTTTATTTGAAGTCACTGAGAAAATGAACTCATGCACCTTCTGGGGTGAATATTCTAAAGGTCCAAAAGAGCACTGGTCATTCAGCCCTCTGGGAAACATGGTGTTTCGTTGAGAATAGTGTTATTGGAAAATGGGGCCTCCTTTTGGCTCCTGACTTCTCTGAAATGTGTGATCTTAAAGTTTTTTACAAGGTGTTATCATTCATTTCTTTAAATCTCTGTGCTGGCTTATTTCTCAAGTGCAACCCAAACAAGGGGTTTAAATGAACCAGCAATAGGTCTCATTACTGGTGGAGGAGGTCTGCTGGACTAGTCAAGAATCCTGTGGTACCTCTGCATACCTTTCTCATGGTACTTCTCAAAGTTCACAAAAGAATGAATGGTTAGGAACTCAGACTTGTCTTTGAGGGAAAACTACAGAGCGTTTATGAGGTCAGTATCTGTCTTGTTTGCTTTGAAGTTTTTTTTTAAATTTATTGTTAATAACATGACACAGGCAATACCCCATGGATCATAGCTACAAGCAGTGTAGTAGGGTAGTAGGTGCTTTGTGAAAGATGTGAACTGGCAAATATGCAGTTTCCTTTCTCTGACCATAGCAAATTATATCTGGGTCTCAGGAGCTGAATGCAATGCATTTATATTCAATAGGCCTTTGGTAATTTTTTTCGGTGGATCTGTACAATGATGTCTTTGAAACCATATAGAATCATACCACCCACAACATCCTTTAAATATGCACAGTTTATCTGTTATCTACTTCTCCTTTGAATTGGCCCCCCAACATTTTTATTTTATTTTTCTTCACTGTTGTATTCTTACATACAGTGTACAGTTGTTTGTTGTTACCTGCTCTGTACCTCTCTGAGTTTCAGAGAGCTCTGTCATAATCCTTTTTTCTCCATATGGCAATTCACAGAATCTTTAATTGTTCCAGGCATAAAGACTCAAAGACTTGCATTAGTCATTCCTTATCATCCTATTCAGTATTTTTTTTAAGTGTTTTTTTCCAGAAATCAGTTCATGGTTGTTTAACACAATAATATCATTAAAAGATTAAGGTTAGAATGAAAGAAAATAGATGAGATCAAATAAAGTCACATAACTTTTCCTCACATAAATATCATTCCAAGAATGCGTAGAAATATGACGACCCAGCCAATAGAGAGAAATAATTAATGCAAGGTTAGTATTGATTTGGTAATCCCAGCAAACACATTTAAAGTTTATTCAGTAATCATTACCAAAAAAGGGCATAGAATATAATTCTTATTTTTTTTGTTTTCATGAATATTTTCCCTCAGCAGTACATGGATTGGCTATGGAGTGAATAGAAATAGAGTCAGCATTTAAATGCTTTAAAGCCTTTTATTAAAACAGTTAGAATTTCTTGCAAGTAAAATGCATGCACTCTTGCTAGCTGAATGAATTACACAGTTTTCTGAGATACTGCTCTCATTCCTTTCAGCAGAACTCATATATATTCATAAAAGTTTGGTGTCAGTTGTCAGAAGAGAAAAAAAGGAGTAACTCACAAATGGCTTGATGTCTTGGTTCTTCTATCCATGGTCTGTATGATATATTGATATTGTTATCTACATTCCAGCTAAGGATTAGCAAGTAGAGGTGTGCACAAATCTTTGAATAGAGTCTGAATAACTGCACAGGCAAATGGATAGTTGCATATGAGTTTGACATACAGTTTTTCCATTTATTTGGGACATTCTGCTGTGCCTGTTAATTAGATACATCAATTTTTATGTGTTCTTTGGTTTCTCAGGTTCTTCTTATACTTTGTCATCCAGGATCAGCCATGGCTGGGGGCGTTCATCATGTCTAAGCATGCCCTAGGTTGCACTTGCCTGTTTTCTAAATTTATCCTGGCATGCTATCTTCCTAGAGGTCAACATCCAATGTCAGAAAACAAAATGAAACAACAGGCCCTTTCTGGATGAGCTCTCACATTCTCTTCTGCAAGGGGCAGCAGAAACCAGCCCTCACACTGTATTCAGGGAACCTGCAAAGGCCTCTGAATATTATGTGTGTCACGGTCAGCAGTGCCTCTGACTACAGTGCACCTCCACAGCTTGTCACTAAGAGAAATAGTAATTTTACCACTCAGATGTAACTACATACCTTATCTCCATATTTTCTCTTCTCCTTTGGGTGACCTCTTCCTTTAAGTCTTTTCTTTCTTTCTTTCTTTCTTTCTTTCTTTCTTTCTTTCTTTCTTTCTTTCTTTCTTTCTTTCTTTCTTTCTTTCTTTCTTTCT